GCAAATGCATGCCTGTGACGATTCGGTATAAAGTATTTGCTAAAATCAGGGGTGTGGTGGATAAAAAGTGGGCACTTTTCTTTGAAGACATAGCAGTGCAGGGCAACGGTGGAATCCTGTGTCAGTCAAGCCGTTGCTAAGATGTTGTTGTTGACGACTAAATGTGCAAAAATGCGAAAAGCAAGACTGCTGACTGGGATGCACTTTTAAAATGTAATACAGTCAACTCTTGTTACAGCGAACACCCTCGGGACGTAGTTTGGAGTCCATAATACCAAGAGTCCGCAATAGCGGGAGTCATTTTCAGTCAAACCTCTATACTGCTTTCGTCAGGTGGAAGGCTGGATTTTTGTCCGCAAGGCGAGAGTTGACTGTATGACGCGTTTTTTTGTTTGTTTATTTTTGTTTTTGTGGCTTTACTTCAGTTATTTCTTTTTCGTATAATATCTCATGGGTAAAAGTATAAAACGCCGACTTTTAATCTGGTATAATATACTGTTTTTATAGTGGTGGAAAAATAGGATAAAAGAAATGCGCTTCACTGTTTTACGCAACCAAATAATTGTCCACACAAAGCGCCTATTTTTCCCTCACTGATTTGGTTCATTAGGTGCACAACCTGTTGACAGCCTCTGCGGTCGATGAGTTTCCACATTTAGTACCTGATACCTGTCCAATTGAGAAAACTTGCATATCGTTGTGCGCAGGAAAATAACCTGGTCGGGACGATATTGTAAACATGGAAATTTGTTCTTTTTCGAATCCCAAAGGGGAGAGAGTGGTGAGTACGTTACATATTCGCCATTGGCAATTTCTTAGCCCCACAACAGATATACTCATAATTCTCGCGTATGACAGCTAAAGCGGAAGAATGTCTCAGAGGCAGAGCTCGAAGACTGGTGAACGACAAAAAATGCTCCAAGAAGTGACAGTCGAAATCACAGCTAGGCTAGCCACAGTGCCGGAAGCGGGATAATCTGTGTCAGAGGTGGAGAGCTGCTGCTACACTTACAAGAGAATAACCTTGTGTTGTATGAACAGAAATGAGCTTCGGGCCAAGCTATTAAAAACACATGTCAAACACTTGAAAAAGCTATATGCCTTAGTAATGGCATTGAGTGTTCGTGTCAGGAAGAAAGAAGGACCTGAGCTAATGGTTTCCCTAGGCCCTTTTTTTTTACACTTCTTATAAAGAAGTCAGCCCGTGTTAAGTTTCCCAAGATACACTACTAATTGCCCTGCCACAGTAAGAAAATTTGTTTCCCTTGGCCCCCGCTCCACACGAAGGTGGTGGCAAACGTTTTTGCTTTCTATCTGTATTCGTCTTTAAAAAAAAAAACTTCCTTTAACTTTGCAGCATGGATTCGTTTTTTGACATACCATGCTTGAGAAAAATATAAGAAAACCACTGACGGCCTGGTGGTCCGCCTGGGTTTTTTTCTAAAAATTTTCTCTCATATTAAAAATGAGCACCTCGATAAAAGGTCTAAAAAACCGCAAGGATTATTGGTCCTGCGTACCCAAATCCACCGAAAATTAAAGGTTTCCCGGGAGAAGTGTGGGGCGCTGTGGTTACAGTTATTCCATATTATCCCTTTAAAAAAATCACCATTGTAAATTCAGTGCCGGCCATTACCAGGATTCGAAAAGTCCAAATTAAATTCCGATACCCATACCCTTACAACCCAGAGGATAACTAGATTATGTTGCATTTAGTATAACACGTAGTTGTTAAACTCCGGTCAGCAGTCTTGGCTGTACTTCGCACATTCCGGTACTGCACGATTATTCCGAACAAACAACCTTCCTTCTTGGCTTATCGGCGGGCCCAACGCAATGGTGTAACCGACTCGATTTTTTTAGCCCAAATACTTTACTCTGGATTTGTTTTTCACCAGGGCAGTGCATTGTTGCCGTAGTACCCCCCAGTGATCTTGATGCATTTAATTTACATAACTTCCTGGATGGATGTTGTATCGATGAATTTTTGGTGAATGCTCGCTGGCAGGGAAATCACAGAATTTAGGGAGGGGTTCCGTGGAACTTATTACGACTGCGTTTTCGACCCTGGTCAACTATTCTTTATCAAAGTGTATCATCTGTGGTCTGAAAAGACCGAGAAAGTGGATGTTTGATGGGGACACACCATATTAGATATGACCTTTCTGCCTAGAGTCTGTGCTGGATTTCAACTGTCAAGAAAATGGATGCGACGCGAAGGAGAGACCCCCGCGATAAAATTTATCCTGAAACAATTGGTAGGTAGACTTTGTAAATCAATTTATATTTCACCAAATTCGCGGGCCCAAAACATTATCAATTTAAATGTAGTTAACAGAAAAAGCATGATAGGAAATACTTCTGAAGCTGAATCTTTTCTTAAAAGCCTGTTTGGGCGAAATAGTGGAGCATCAAAAATGGCCAATTTTGCATTTTTTACAATTTGCCTCAGATGTCTTCAGCACCCACGGCCCAAAATATAATTTTTCCCCAAAAAATATTTTATGATATTTAGAAACTTCAATATCCCATGTAAGCTCTGCTGCTAATTTGGTTTCTGGGAAAAGAGTAATTTTGGAGAAATTGCGGATATGGTTATGCTTGTTTTTCATGCTTATCCAAAATGGCTGACGGGCAACATGGTAGAGTCGACCATTTTTTCCTAGTCCCATAAACACACAATCAAAATATTTTTATAGCGATTTTTAAAAGCCGAAGAATGGCTCTACACCCTGGTGGAATTTCATTTTGAATGGCTTCACATGCACGCGAGAAAGAACCAGACTTGTTTATTTTTACTTTTCGAGACTGAATTTTTTCTCAAAACATGGACCTGAGGCTAGGCTTGAAATCAATTGCGGTTACCATGGGCAACAATACATATGCCGACCCAAAGTATGGGCTGTTTTTGTTTCATACCCCCAGGTAACCTACCTCCACACAAAACAATGAAGGGGGGTTGACAAATTTCATTTACAACTTTGCTTCACTTTCTCAGAGAACTACTCTTACAATCTTGCAGGGGATCCGCCTGTTACTGAGTGAAAAACATATCTTTTGAAACACCAGGGTTTTGTTTTATGAACACTCGCTGAAAAATAGCCACGAAGTGCTCCACGATGTCAGAGTCCGCAAAAATGCAGAAACGAAGCAGAAATATAATGATATACTCAAGTTTTCTCTTATTCCACGGCATTTCATGGCCAAAACATCTTCGATGTAAACTTTGAAGTGTTTCAAATTATTATTTGCGAAAGTAAGAAAAAGGCAATATTATCCGTTTTGGAGCGGAAGGAATAAAAGACATTTATCTATCCTTCGACCGTCGTAGTTTCAAAAACCACACAAACAACACGTTCGCCGCCAAAAATTTGCTATTGCGTGTCATGGAATCACGCACATGCGCAAGACGTTATTCAAGCCCTGTCGTAAAACCCATAAGTGACCAGGAAAATCCCTCATCCCCAATCCTTAGAGACAGTCCCGATTTATTAAATAGAAACATTGTGGGTATGGATATTCCCCGGTGACCAACAGAGCAAACATACATTAATAAAATTGGCATGCTTGTTCTGTCAAACTGCCCTCGTAATTCCACCTCCCTAGCCATAAACCCTGTCACTTCTGCTAGCAGTCAGAGGACTGTCAGCCACTGGTTTGTCTGTGCAGCTTCCCACTTTCCTCTATCACTTCTTGGCACCTGGAAGGGAAAATCATACGACTGCCTGCTTAAAATTGGCAAGTGGTGTAGATTAAAGAAAGCAGAGAGAGAATGGGCATAATAGAGCTACCTTTGCTGACGTCGCTGTTTACATCTTATGTTAAAAAACTCACTTGATAGAAGAGTAGATGTCAGTAGCCCTCTAGAGAGGGCAACGTTATTAGAAAAAAAAATCATACTTCTTTGTTGTAGTACATCTTCCACCATTGACTGAAGCCAAATCTGCCATTCAAAACTTCTGTTCTGCTGCAAATAATCTGATGGAAACTACAAGACACAATGATTGCTCTGTGTATGAATGTCAACACCCCCTAAAAAGACTAGGAGATAAAGTAAAAAATTACATAAAATTCCAATAATTAGGCCACAGTGCTCCCCCTTATCAAAAGAAGAGGGCGTGAAAAACTTACAAGCGATGTGACAGTGGCCTAAGTGTGAAGCAAATCCAGGCAGGAGGGGAAACATGGTACGTCTATGATGAAGCAAAGCCTGAAAGTTCTGGTTTCAAGCTGCTCACCACTGTAAAAAAATACAAAAATAAAAAAATGAAATAAAATGTCAGCTATATCCAAACTACAGTAGAATCCCAATTTCTTGAACCTCCAAGGGAAACAAAAATTGGTTCGAGAAATGGCGAGTTCGAAATATTGGGGGTAAAAAGGAAATGACTTTTGGTCAATCAGAGTTATCGGGGTTTTGAGAAATCCGGAGTTTGAGAAATCGGGATTCCACTGTATTGCAAGCTGCTAAGTTACATAGATAGTTCTCAACCAGCTGAAACTAGAAGAGCTGCAAGAAGAAAGCCATATTTAATTGGAAGTCACATTGTTGAAGGGACTATTGGCTCCTATACCAATGTTCATTTTACTGGAAAAACAAACCAAGCAAAGGACCACACTCCTCAAATACAACTTTTTACCTAGGTTTACAATGTGTCCTTGCCCTGCGCCTTGAAGGGAAACTGATGGCTGTTGGAGCAAAGCTTGGAAGACCTGTAAAGAACACATTGATTAGGACACGTAACGTTTACAATAACCTCGTTTTCTTATGGCCCTAAAATGAGACACTAACTGTCTGAGAAGCTCTCTAAAGCCTTGATCTCTGAAAGCATGTACAAGAAAAATACACAGAATACATCTCTCTCACATTTCTACCAAGCTTAAAATATACCATCATCTCTTTCCACAAATTCTTATTCATCGGGACAAATCTAGTCCTAGCAGTATGCAGGATGTTTGTCACACTTGAAACCTAGTTACAGGGCCTTAGATCCCATGAGTCTCCTGTAGGCTCAGTGGTAGTAGGCGTTAAGACCGATGTGCGTAAGGTCATAGGTTCGACTCCTGTTGGGAGAACTCTGAA